TCCGCGATAAGGGGACACGATCTCTGCTTCGACGGGACGTGCCAACAAAAACCACGCCCTAAAACGTGGAACTGCGGGGCGGGAAATGGTTCAAAATAATGACCAGGCAAGCGTGACGTCACGTTACTAAGTGGTCAGCAGATTGGATTCGTGAAATATTATACTCTCTACGGCTGTGTGTTGCAGATCCGGACACGTTTGTTTCATCCGAAGGCTATCTTGGAGTTCAGAAGGAGGAACCCGCCTTGCAATGCCGAAGACAGATCTACGCGCTGGATACCTTGTCATTGAAGCCAGGTTCAGGGGCTACTGAGGGGGTCCTGGACTAAGGGGTCCTCGGACGTCCGGCCTGTTAGCTATGGGCCGGATTGATGGGCTGTGAAGAACACGATGACCGAAGACTGCACCCGTGTCCGGGTGGGACTCTCCTTGGCATGGAGGGCAAGCTTGGAGACCAAACATGTAGATTCCTTTCTTTGTAACCGACCTTATGTAACCCTAGATCCTCCTGGTGTTTATATAAACCAGAGGGCTTAGTTCGGAGAGACAGATATTCATTACCATAGCCATACAAGCTAGACCTCTAGGGTTTAGCCATTACGATCTCGTGGTGGATCAACTCTTGTAATACGTGTATTCATCAAGATCAATCAAGCATGACGTAGGGTATTACCTCCATCGAGAGGGCCCGAACCTGGGTAAACATCATGTCCCCTGTCCCCTGCTACCATCGATGTTAGACGCACAGTTCGGGACCCCCTACCCGAGATCCGCCGGTTTTGACACCGACAACTGAATCCAGCACCCTATTGATGTTATGTAATCCTTCAGATAAATACAAGTTGCTGTAAAACTAGTGGTGTGCTCCTCCATCTCAGCTACCACCTCGGTCACCCTCCCATCTGGCAGATGCAATGCTTTAATTTGATTCTTTTTCCTTCGTCTACTTGCCCTTAAGTGGAAGAAGTAGGTGTTGTTATCCCCATGTGCCAACCATTCCACCTGGGCCCTCTGGCGCTAGAGCATCTCTTCTCTATTAAACAGTTCCACCGGCTGGTCACATGTTTTTGACCTCAATCCTAGATGGTTCAGTTCTTCCAGGGACCGCTCTCAGGGAAGCAAGCTGAGTCTGTAAGCTTCTAATTTCCCGCCTTACATTGCCAAACACGTTACGATCCCATGTAGCTAGACCCTCTGAAAGTGATGCTAGGTTCTCTTTAATCCCTTGAACCGTTTCCTCCTGACGCTGTCCCCAGCTGTGTGCCACTGTGTCAGCTAAGTTCTCATGGGACTCCCACATCAGTTCATATTTAAAAGGCCGGGGTCCACCTGTGCATGCATGCACGTCGATCAAGTGGAGCACCAATGGTGCGTGATCAGAGGAGGCTGCTATTTCGTGGCTCAGCTCGGCTTGTGGTAAGGCAAGAATCCAGTTTGCCGAAGCTACACACCTGTCCAACCTAACCTGAGTAAAAGTCCCTCCTGCCACCTTTTTCTTGAAAGTCCACGGGATCCCCTTGTACCCTATGTCCGAGATACCACAGGTGTCCAGGGCATCCCTAAAAGCATCCATCTGTGCCTGACTGCGGCTGCCAATTACGTCATGCTCATTTGCATGTAGAACTTCATTAAAATCTCCAATGACTGTCCATGGAAGCGTACTTGCAGCCACAATGCCTCTCATCATGTCCCAAGTTTTGTATCGCTCAGGGACTTGGGCCTCTCCATAAACAAAGGTGATGCGGAAAGGGAGAGTCACAAGATCCTCAACCTCCATATCGATATGATACTGCGAGTAACCAATAACTTTTTCTTTTATTTAATCTTTCCAGAATACACCAAGGCCACCACTCCTTCCCGAACTACCAACTGCAAAACTTTTATTGAAGCCTAGTGTGTCTACCATGTTTTCCACTCTTTTGCCCTCTATTTGAGTTTCAAGGATACATAATATAGAGGGAGCAAAACGCCTCGTTAACTCACCAAGCTCGCGAACTTTCGCGGGTTTGCCAACCCTGCGACAGTTCCAGCATAGAAGACTCATCGCGCTCGGCGCGACTCCTCTAGGGAGCCCGCCAAACGCGCATCAGAGTTGTTGCTAGTTGTAGCCTTCAGGTTTCCCTGCTCAAACATGATCACAGTGGCTTTCGTCCTCTTTGGTTCTTGCTTGGAGGTTGGGCTCTGAGGTACCGCCGTTGGGGGTAAGGCCAGAGGCGCTTGACCCGGGCTGTTTTGTGTTACATAGTCCAGCACCACAGGCTCCCCCAAGTTGACTTGTGCTACTCCACGCTTCCTGTTGCCTTCAGCCCCTATCATGTATATGCCATCTTCTTTACGACTAGGGTCATCCCGTTCCATCCACTCCTTGCTATCATGCTGACTTGCACCATGCTGGTTTGCCCCACGACCTGCCCCACGACCAGCTCTGCCTCTGCCTCTTCCACCAGCCGGCGAACTCCCAGCTCCACGGCCATGGCCTGGACCCTTAAACCAATCAGCACGAATATTTTTGAAAACTAGCGCTGATGGAGGATGAATTCCATTGCCACATTCTTTATACAGGTGACCTAACATGCCACAGACACCGCACCAGTTAGGCAATCTCTCACACTTGACCTTGAAAATCTCCCTTTTCTTTTTAATCACCAATGAAACAACGTTCCTGAGAGGCTTTGTGACATCCACCTTTACACGAACCCTGAAAAAGTTACCCTCAAAGTATTGGGACTTGGGTTCAGCATAGATGAAGTCTCCAACAGTTGCAGCAAGGGATTTGATCAGGTCAAAAAACAGTTCCGGGAGGTCATGAATTTGAATCCACATCTCAATTTTGTTCAAACTAATCGACGAAGGTCTGGTGATTCCGTCATACAGCTTGACAACGACAGCCTTGCCCTTGAAGGTCCATGGCCCATCTTCCATTACCTGCTCCCAATCACCGAGGCAAGAGAATTGCAAGGTGTATAGGTTATCCTCCAGTGGTCGGAACTTAACTTCTTGCGCTAGATCCCATGCAACCCGCATGTTGCGGAAGAACCAATACTGACTATATTGCTTGTCGATGTGCACACAAGCAATTTCCATCCATCGAGCAGCTTCCTTCGGTATGTCACCATCCTCCACAACTATGTCCACTAGATCATCCTCTTTCAATCCCAACTCCTTCATCATTGCTTCAATGTCGCTCCTCGCCGCTTCAGACGCCGATGTTGAGCCCTCCATCATATCTCTTGCCCGAGAAACAGCGGATTCCGTGGGCGGGATCTTCCCTACGCCGGCCTCCTGTCAACCACTATGGCCACCCACCCAAGGGCGTCGGCGGTCGGTGGTAGGGAAGCAGAGGGGATCGCGATCTCCACGTCGAGCGAGCGCCGCCGGGAGGAGGAAAAACCCTAACTAGAGGGGATCAAGGCGCTAGGAGAGTCCAAATGAGGTGCGGTTTTCTCCCGAACAATCGTGATCCAACGACGGAGAGCATGGATGGGGGTTTAGATGGGTTAGTGGACTGTTTTGGAGGGGTGTTGGGCTGCAACAAGAGAGGGGCTTTTGCGATTACCCGGTTAACCGTTGGGGCATCAAACGACCTCCAGATGGAACGAAATTTGACACGCGGTCTAACGGTGATGTACCAAGGCCACTCGACAAATCTCGACCCATTCCGAGAACGTTTTTCTCCCGCTCACGAAACGAGATTTGAAGGGTGCAACGGGTGCATGTGGGAGCGTCGGATTTTGAAACGAACAACGGGAAAAAAGACCGGATGCATGAGACGAACACGAATGCAAAAGGAGATGCACATGATGACATGAGATGAAATGCATGACATGAACAAAATGCAAAACGAAGACAAAAACCCAACCACGAAGAAAATATCATATCACATAGCCGGAAATAGCAAGGGTTGGAGTTACAATTATGAAAAGTTACATCCGGGGTGTTACACTCGCCACCTAGGCCGAACCACGTCGCTACTGAGACCGGAGGCAGCACATCACGACTTCCACCAATGTGATTTCATGATAAAATGTTGCATGCACTTTAAACATTCCTTAAAGTATGTTAAATAAATCAGACTATTTTTTCCCAATTTTACTGTTCACGGCATGAGCATTGAGCTCAAGCTGAGAAATTCAAAATTTTACTTTCGGCTCTCCCCTACTTTTATGTGTCAACTTACTTTCTATATCTTTGCATGATCGACTACTTCGTCTACGATGCTCCCGCTCTGCAACCCTTGAACCGGACTCACCAGCAGAGGTTGCCTACCGCTTGGTCCTCCAATTCCCGGACCAGACCAAATACCAATTCAATTTACTGGGCTAAGTACCAACATCAAAAACCTCTCTCTCAAAAAAAAAGAGTAAAGAGAAACTTTATAGCATTAACACAATAGTGTTGACATAAGAAAAACTCTTTCTGCTCACAAATACTTCCTCCGTTCACAAATATAAGATGTTTTAATTTTTTGTAAACAGAGGGAATATCCAATATAAATATGGGTACACAAATAAAGGTTGACATATGTGGTACCCATCTGAACGACCGCATTATAACACTATAAAGGGTACTCCCTCTGTTTAACAGAGGAGTACCCTCAAAAGAAAACACAATTGTCTAGTAGACATATAAAGAACTAACAATGCAACTCATACTAGCAATTTAAGCCAACTAATGAGCAACTCTATTACACATCTCTATTTACATAGCAGAACCCAACACCTTTTTAAGCTTTGACGTCCTTCATAATGACTCCATCCCGCTCTGCTCTATCTGGAGTACGAGGGTTTCCACCACAACCCTGGCACCAGAGTCTTTAATCTTTAATCCAAACGTTTATGAATAAGTGCGCCACAATACAGAACGCCGAAAGCAACAAATGCATTGGAAGTAATCCTTATTTTCCTTCGAAACGCATCTCCATTCCTGTAGGACAGAAAAAAAAACTTTTCAGGAAGTGAGCAACTTCCTACAAAATTATAACTGCATATGATTGATGATTATTACGCTTTGATCTGTGGTTCAATTGAAGGTTTGCCACTGGTGGTCATCTTGGAAGAGAAAGTTTGCCCGACCCCTGTAGCTGGACGCACAGATGCTGACTTCATGATGTGATTTATGTTTACTGAGTTCACACCAATTCTTGAGCAGCTTCTTGTAACAAGCTCATCAGGACATGGAGAGGTGTTCATGTACCTTGCTGCCTATGATTAGACAGGATGAGAAGTCAGAACATGCACCTAAAGTTACTATTTTTTCCCAAACCAAGAGAAAGGAAATACCGCTGCCGAATCAAGAAATCAGATTATTTCTAAAGTGCAAGATTGCAGTATTTAGAGAGAGAGAAAATAACTATAGGTTCCGCTATTTTTTTCTTTGGAAATTATACAGGACTCAAGCATTCACTTCAGAAGGTGAGAAGCATCAGGTTAATCCAAGAACCAAACCTAGGCGACAGTTAATCCTAGAACGAACCTGTGCTACAGCTTCTAAAACATACATAAATGAAGCAAGTAATCTAGCAACTTGTAAAGCCATGGAGCCCAATGTTATTGGGGATCGCCAGTCTAGGATGGAGAACTCCACTAAAAAGCATTACTGAGAGACACAACACCCCTTCCTGAAACCAGCATGGAAGGAAATTTCATAATATCACATGGAGGAAATTTCATCAATTTTCTAATATCGCGTGGAAAAAAGAAACAGAGATATCTGCAGCATGGGCTATATATTATTCAGTTTGACAGATAGACTGAACGGAACAACAACAACTAAGCTTGTGTTTTGATATAGAGTGCTTTAAAAATGACAGGTATCCCAAAACCATTTAGGCACTAAAAACCGAGGGACGTTTAGCAGTTTGCAGCATTTAGAAAAGTACAGTACATTTTAATTTATGTCAAGTGACTTTGTTTTGAGTTATATCACATGGCTATCTTTTGACGTGAAACAGCAGGAGCTCTGCTTTTGCATTTAAGAAGAGTAGAGAAAGTCATTACAACATGCAGTCTGCCAAGGCAGATTGCCTTGCCGGCAGCTGCCAATTTGGCCAGGCAGGAAGCCTAGGCGGCCCTCAAAAAGCAGGGGCAAAAAGGAGGAAGAAAACCAACAAAAAAGAGCTGGGGGGAGACAATTTCCTCCTCGAGCGGTCAGCCCTCTATTGTCACAGGGCTAGTGGCCTCATAGAAAACTCGAGCCTCATCTCTTATCATTCCAGCAAGTGCAACCGGCGTCAGCTCCTTTTGCTCGAAAATTCTTCTATTTCTTTCCCTCCAGATGTTCCAAGCAATGTAGGCCGCTAATGTGATTTGCTCCTTGTTCCTCTCCTTTGTCCCCCTGCCTTCACAGAGGCTGGCCCACCATTCCCTAATTGTTGCAGCTGACGGAACCTCTATTGCCATTCTCCTAGTGCCTCCTTGGAACTGCATCCAGACCTCTTTGGCAAAACAGCAACCTAGTGTGATGTGATCCGCCATCTCATTTTCCTGGTCACACAGAACACACATTGCATTATGGGGCCATCCCCTTGCTTGCAGGCGATCGGTGGTCCAGTTCCTGTTTTGGATCAACAGCCATAGGTAAAACTTGATCTTCCCCTCCATCTTACTCTTCCGTATTTTGGCCAGATCAGGTTTGACCACTCTTGCCACAAATTGTATATCATAAGCAGAGGCTGCTAAGTAGCGTAGGTTTGCAGTTAGGTTCCAGCAGATTTGGTCTTTGTCGTCCCTGAGATGCAGCAATTGCACCTCTTCCCAGAGCCGCACGAATTGGTTAAGCTGCTCCTCCCCTATCATTCTCAGCAGTCCATGCATCCATCTTCTGTTGTGGAGCGCCTCCCGCACCGATATCTTCTTGAACCTGGCTAGTTGATACAGTTCTGGAAAGACCATGCAGGGGTTTTCTCCATTCAGCCATCTGTCCGTCCAGAAAGCAGCCGTTCGCCCATCCCCTAGCAGGATCGAAGTGCAGCTCGCAAACAGTTGCTTGTCCTTCTCATCACATGGCGTCGGCGATCCCTTCCATGGCCTGTCTTCCTCAGCCCAGCGAAACCATTCCCATCGCAGTCGGAGGGCCCGACTGAAACATTCAATGTTCTTCACCCCCAGCCCTCCATTCTTTATTGGGGATCACACTTGTGTCCAATTTACAAGGCTTCGCCCCCCAATGTTTGTATCGTCCGCCTCCCAAAGGAAATTTCTCCTCAACTTATCCACCTTCTTGATAAACCATTTATCAGGGGGAAAAGCAGTCAAGAAGTATGTTGCCGTGGCCGTGATCACCGAATTTGTGTAAACCAGTCTGCCCTTTCTGTTCAGAAGCCGGTCTTTCCTTAAAGACAGCTTACCGGCAATCTTATCAATTAGCGGTTGCACCTCAATCCTCTTCGGCTTACGCACTCCCAGGGGCAGCCCCAAGTATTGACAGGGGAGGGATCCTTGGGCAATCCTAGCAGGCCCTAGTAGCTGTTGCAGGTCATTGTCCAAGCAAGCAATTGGGTATGACACCGATTTACTCAGGTTTGTTTTGAGACCCGACGCATTTCCAAACATCTCCAAGATGGCAGTGACAGCGGACATCTCCTCATGTGCCGGGTTGATGAACAAGGCCGCATCATCTGCATAGAAACTGGCCCGGAAACGTGCCACCCGCGTCCCTAGTGGCTTCAGAATGTTCCTCTCTGTTGCCATCACAAGCAGTCTCTGCAGTGGTTCCATAGCAATGATGAAAAGCAGAGGGGACAGCGGGTCTCCCTGCTCAGGCCACGGAGATGGAGAAAAGGCGCTCCGGGCGTTCCATTCAACAGTATTCTAGAAGAGGACGACACCAATATCAGAGCAATCATGTCTCTCCATCTCTGTCCAAACCCCATTGCCTCCATCACCTCTAACAAATATTCCCAGGATACTGAGTCGAAGGCCTTGGCCACGTCCAGCTTAAGGAACACAAGCGGTGATTTTGTCGAGTGAGCCGCTTTTATCACATTCTTGACATAGAGAAAATTGTCCTGGATTGACCTTCCTCGAATGAAGGCGCTCTGATTTTGCGTGACCAAGTTGTGTATCTCTGGAGCCAGCCGAGCGGCGAGCATTTTGCTTACAAGCTTTGGAACGCTGTGCATGAGGCTCATAGGCCAAAAATCTCTGGGGTCTTGAGCATTGTCCCGCTTAGGGATTAGCATGATGTTTGCCGTGTTGAGCAGATCCCAATTCCTCCCTCTGAGATTGTAAACACAGTTAACAGCCGCAAGTAAATCCTGCTTGATGACCGGCCAGGCTCTCTTAAAGAAGGCCCCCGTGAACCCATCGGGGCCTGGCGCCTTCTCGCCATGGGTCTCTTTGATCGCTGAGAGTAGCTCGGCCTCCGTAAACGCCCCCTCTAGGTGATCCAGCTGTCTACGCGGCAGTCCCAACTCCTGCCAGTTCAGTGTTTGAGCCCGCCCGAACGACGATCCCATGAGTCCCTTAAACCGCTCCTTCAGAATCTTAGCCTTTCCAGCATGGTCAACGACCGGCCCCTCCCTTCCCAAGAGGACCGGTATGTGGTTCTTACGCCGACGGCCACTCGCCCGCATGTGAAAAAACCTGGTGCTGGCATCTCCCTCTTTGATCTCCGTCAGTCTTGATTTCTGCCTCCATCGGGCCTTGTCCACCACCGCAAATCCCAATAGCTTGGCTTTGAGCAGATTCCGCAGGCGCCTTTCCTCGTCAGTTAGGTCCCGGTCCTCCTAGGCAAGGTCAAGTCGGAAGATCACCTCGCTCGCCAGCCCCGACATGAAAACAGCCCATCTCTTCTTGCTTTTGTTCCACGCCCTCAGCGCCTTCGCAGTCCTTGACAGCCTTGTGTGGAGCACCCTAATGGGGTCCCTCGATTGGACCTCTCTGCCCCATGCCTGGGCAACAATTGCGTCAAAATCAGGGCACTTGAGCCAATGGTTCTCAAATCTAAACGTGTTGTGATGGGATGCATCCATTGGTCTGAGAACCAGCGGGCAATGGTCAGATATATTTGTTGAGGCCGGGGTAAGCTGGTAGTGAGGGAACGCCGCTTCCCACTCGCTGGAAACCATCACCCGATCAATCCTTGTGAGAGTTGCATTCCCACATTCGTTTGACCATGTAAATCTCCTTCCAAGCAGGGGAAACTCCATCAACTCCATCTCGTCAATGGCTGCCCTGAACCGGCCCATCATCCTCAGGTTGACGCTATTTTTGTTCTTATCAGAGGCTCTCACGATCAGGTTGAAATCCCCCATCATCATCCATCTTGGCAGCATGTGCTGTTTGGTCCTCTTCATTTCCTCAATGAACCGGATTTTGTCATCATCTTGCTGAGGCCCATACACCCCGGTGATCGACCAGCAAAAACCATCGGCCCTTCTCCTAACTGTCCCCGAGATCGAGAAATCCCCAGCCGCGAGTGGTTCCACCTCAATCTCATAATCCTCTGAGCAAGCAATGAGTATTCCCCCTCTCGATCCATCTGCAGGAAGCGCAATGAAACTGTCAGCAAATCGCGGCCCAAGCATCTCCGCCACAATGTTGCGTGACATGTCACAAATCTTTGTCTCTTGCAAACAGACAATACTGCATTTAAGATCAGCAACGAAAATCTAAATAGCCCTTCTCTTCGCAGGGTTATTAATCCCCCTCACATTCCAATTCAGATAGGTGCAATCCATAAATCAAACTGGGATAACTCAGCAACAACACATCTCCATGGCAGCACTACCTCATAGCCGCAGCATAAACTGCCGGAGCAAACACCAAACTCCCATCCCTCCACCCAAACTCTAACCACAAGATACAAAGGCAGAACTATCATAGAAACCTGGCTAAAAACCCAGCAATACAGAGCCTGAAAAGGATCTTCAGGCGCAGGCCACCGGCCCTCCCTGCCTTGCCCCCTTCCCGCCGCTGGTAGCATCCATCAGTGCCTCAATCACTGATATGAACCGCCCAGAAAATGGTTTCTTGTACAACTCCCTGTACTTGAGCAGATCGTCCCCCGTCGGCGCCGCTGCCGGCGCCTCACCCGCCCAGATGTCGCTTTTCTTCAGTAGGACCAGCTGCACCTTGTCCATTGTTGACCACCCCGCGGTCGGCTTGGCTGCCAGCCTTCCATTGCTTCTCTTGGAGGGCTTCACCGCCAGCAGCGCCGCCGGCTCCTTGGCGACTGGAGGGCGGGGCAGCAGCGGCGCAGGTAGGAAGGAGGAGAAAGAGATGAGGAACAGACTGAGTGGATCAGCTGATTCCACCTCCTGCTCCCCCGCTCCCAAAGAGCCCCGCACCCCCTCTTGGGCCAACACCAGGCGGCCGCTGGCAATTGGCGCCCAACCTGGATCGGCCCACCATCCACATTCAGCTCCGCCTCCAGCAACACGCCAGTCCTGGCCAGCCCCTCTCCTCCTGGGCTTCCGCGCCCCCCTCCTCCTGGGCTACCGCGCGGCGAATGCGGTCGAACAGGGCCGCTTGTTCATCACCTCCAGCCTCCTCTTGGCGGCCCACCACCGACACTCGGGCACATGCGCCAGTGGG